TCCTGGTCCTGTCCTTTGCAACCAAACAAGACAAGTCAAGTTCTTTTCCATATGATAGCCTTTCCAATACTTGAAGGCAGCTATCATTTCCATCTCCCCCATCCCCAAGTCTTCTCTTTCCCTGGTTAAATTCTAGTTCCTTCCAATGAACCTCCTATGTCTATCTCTGTCTGTGGCACCACCATTTACTCCGTCTGTTTTTAACTTTAGTGTTAAATTCCCTTTCTCTCCTGACCTATTAGTTAGTATGTCCTGTCAATTCTGTCTCCATTAACATCTCTTGCACCCTTCCCCTGTGTTCCAGTCCCACTGCTCTTACCTTAGTAGAGGACCTCATTGCCACTGTAGCCTCCTAACAGATCTTCTTCTCCTTCTCATCCATCATGTCACTGTCAGAATAATTTTCTGTGTGCATAGAGCCATTCACATCATTCCCCTGTTCAAACATTTTAAGTATTGCCTATAAAGTTCAGTTTCCTATGTTTGACTTTCAAAACCTTCCACAAACTGTCACCACACTACCTCCCCTTACTTCTAATGCCTTCCCTCTGTTAATTGTTTCCTATTTATTTTGCATATAGCTTGTTTTGTATATATTTCTTTGCATGTTGTCTCTCCCTGTGTGACTTGCCCAGGGTCACACATCTGGTAAGTGTGTGAGTCCAGATTTGAACCCATGAAGATAAGTCTTCCTGACTCTAGGCCCGGTGCTTTATCCATTGTGCCAACCAGTTACCCAGCAGAAATAGGATTCAGGGCTTGATTTATTGTTTTGTTGCTCGTCTGTGCATACATTTCTCCCCTCTTCCCCCCCCCCAAACATTTGCCAGCATATCCTTGGGCCCCTCTCCTTCTGTTTAGATACTTTGCCAATGAATTCCATGGATTCAGGTATCATCTTTATTCAGATGACTTCTAAATCTACTTCTCTGGGCCTCATTAGTAGTCTTCTGGGCTCCTTTCCCTGCTGCCTCCCTTCTCATATACCTGGATATCTAATAAGAATCTCAAATTCAACATTTCCAAAAACAGAACTAATTATCTTCCCACTCCATTCCTATCAATCCACCAACTTTATCTAATTCCCCTAATTTTATTGAGGATTCTACCATCCTGCAACCTTAAACTCATCCTCCACTATGAGAATGTTGGGAAGACTTGTAGCTTCTACCTGTAGTACCCTCAAATGTTCCTCCTTTTTTCCATTCACACAGCCTAGTTAAGGCCCTCCTCACTTCTTGCCTAGAATGTTGCAATGATCTCCTAATTAGTCTCCCTGTATCCAGTCTCTCCCCTCTCCAATTCATCCTCCAAATGCTGTCAAATTGCTTTTCTTTTTTGAAAAAAAAAAATTTCTTTTCCCCTCAATTAACAAGCATCTACCCTCTCTTCTTCCCACCTCCCACTCCCCAAGTGGGGAAAAAAAGAAAAAAAAAACTTCCCTTCCCTTCAACAAGTATGCATAATCAAGCAAAACAAATTCCCACGTTGACCATGCCCAAAAATACATGTCTCACTCTGCATATCTAGTCTATCACCTCTTTGTCAGTAGGTGGGCAGCATTCTACATCATCAGGCCTCTGGAATCATGGTTGATCACTGCTTTGTTCAAAGTTAGTTCTTTCAAAATTGTTCATTTTTACAATGCTGTTATAGTAATAATTGTGCTCTTGGTTCTACTCACTTGACTCTGCAACATTTCACAGTAAAGTTCCCCCTCCCTGGACCCTTCTCCTCCTTCCTCATTTGCATAATTAGTCAATTAATTAATAAACATTTATTAAACTCCACTATATGTCAGGCACTGGGCTAAGCACTGGTATAAACTTCTAACTGTGCTCCCAGATTATATAAGATACATTCCCCCTCCTTCTCCTCCCATTTTCTCCCCTACTATATGGTCCCCCACTCCATATACCCATTTCCATTCTTCTTTTAAAATCATCAAAGCTTTAATAAATCATTCCCAGGTCCTTCATTTTCTTTCCCTCCCTCTATAAACCCTGTTGACATTACATTTCTCAAGGAATATTTGAATTCTCATTGCTCCCCCCACTCATTAGAATGCAAAAATTTCATAATTAATGATAATAATTAGCATTTATGTTGCTCTTTTAAGGTTTATAAAGTGCTTTATAGTTATTATTTCATGTTATTCTCCCAACAATCTTGGGAAATAGGTGCTATTATTATCATCCCATTTTATAGACAAGGAAATTGAGGCAAATAGCAGTTAAGTGACTTACCCAGGGTCCTATAGCTACTAAGTAAATGATGGAGGATTTGAACTCAGGTCTTCTTGATTCAAAAATCTTTTTCTGATTGCTTCTTCTATTTACTTGTTTTTGTTTTTCTTAACTTCCATGTTTGTGTTTCAAAGTTTCTACTCAGCTTTCGTCTTTTCATAAGGAATGTATAGAAATCCTCTCTTTCTTTCAAGGTTTGTTTTTTCCCCCTTTAGGATTATACTCAGCTTTGCTGAGTGAGATATACTTGGTTTTAAGCCTATATTTTTTGCCTTTTAGGATATTTTACTTCATGCTCTCCTTTTCTTTATAGTGGTAGCTGCCAAATCTTGTATGTTTGTGACTATGGTTCCTCAGTACTTGCATTCTTTCTTTCTGGCTGTGTGCAGTATTTTTTCTTTGACCTGGAAGCTGTGAATTTTAACTGTGACTTTTCTAGGAGTTTTCATTTGAGGGTTTCTTTTAGGAGGTGATTGTTGGATTCTTTCTACTTATACTTTGCTACATGGGTTCTAACATATCCAGGTAGTTTTCTGTCATGATTAGGCAGTACAATCATTCTTAAATGAACTCTTTTTGAGTTGTTTTCAAGGTCAATTGATACCTTCCCTTTTCTTCTGGTTTTTCCCTCCCAATCTTTTGACTTTATTTTAATATTACTTATTTTCTCATGGAGTTGTTAACTTCTGTTTATTCTAATTTTCAGTGAAGTTTGTTATGTGGGTTTGTACCTCTTGTGTTAAGCTGCTAATTTTGTTTCCAAGTTTCCCTTCCATAGTTCTTTTTTTCCTTATCAACTCTTGCTTCTGTTGCTCTCATTTCACTTATAATATCATCTTTAAACTCATTATTTAAACTCCTGCCTCATTTCTTTTAAGAATGCTAGTTGATCTTGAGGAAAAATTGTGGTTTTCTTTGAGGCTTAGTCAGTAGGTATAAATTATAGAGAAGGGGTTGATCTGAAATGATAAAGTAAGTTGCCTAATTGCGATTTCCCTGCATGATCGTGAGTCTAAGTCTTCTCTTTTTCACTCCTAACCCCCCCCCAAAAAAAATTATTCTCCCAGGAAATTTTTCACTTTACAAAAGAAGTCTGATTTTGTTTTAAATGACCTAGATTAAATTTACATATATTTAAATTACATAATATATTTTCAGGAATAAAGTTGTTATATAAAGACCGATGTTCCTGTAGCCTATTACAAGACTCCAAGCAGGGAGTCACTGAAGTAAATGCCAGTAGTTGGCAATGAGCTCAGGTATGGAAACCTCTGGGACTGGTGAGTGTGTGATATAGTCAGGAGATTTGGATTCTAATCCTTTTTCTGCCTCTAATTACCGGTGGGACATTAGGCAAATTACTTTTGGTCTCTGGGACTCATTGCTTCATCTAAGTTGCCCTTAATGGGGGAATCTTAAGTCAATAACCTCAGTAATAGTTGAGTCCAGGCCTATCATTACCTTGCCCTCTGGCAAAGCAAAAACAAAACAAGAAACACTGCTCTGTCTTTCGGGCTCTAGAGACTTAGCTGATTTTCCTGGTCTCTTCTGATCAACCTACAAGGCAAGCTGTGGGCATACAATGATTCTGCCTTACACAAACATGTGAAGCTACAGAACAGTTCATGTAGAATAAGGTCTTCCATGTATGTGTCATATCAGAGGTACATGGAATTATAGAACTTTAGATATGAAAGTTGTTGTAGTGGTCCTCACGTCCAGCGCTCTTCATTTTATAGATAAGAAGACTAAGGCCCACAGTGGTTAAAAGACTTGACCAAGGGCCCATCTTTGGTCAATGGTAGGAGTCTCTTTAGTCTGCTGCACAACATTCAAGAGGTCAACAGAAGAACTTTAACCCTTGGTGCTGGAATAGTATTAATGACTTTCTTCCACATTTGCCCATACCCTATGGACATTCTCAGTCCAAATCAGGGTCCAGTGACTTTGTTATGAATTATGAAGTAAGATTTAAGGAATGCTTTTACTTCTAATCTACAGAGGAAGGTAAGTGGTGTAGTGGTTAGTGTTGGATCTTGGGGTCATAAAGGCCTGAGTTCAAATCCTGACTCAGACATTTGACAGCTGTGTGGCTCTAGGTAGCTTGCCTTAACCTCTCTCAATCTCAGTTTCCTCATCTGTAAAATGGGGGTAGTAATAGCAATTACCTCAGGCTTTTTGTGAAGCTCAAATGAAATAACCCAAGTGTTGAAAATTTAAGTTATTTGTACAAGGTCACTCAGCCATTATTTGTCAGATGATAGCCTTACTTTAGGGCCATTTTCTCTATCCACTATGCCACATTGTAGGTTGAATGAGTAATATTATTCATATTTTCATGTAAGGTATTTGTTTAAGTTGAAATAGACCTATGTTGACATATTAGGGGAAATTCTCAACCTCAACCTCTACTGGCTACAATTCTGTCCCATTTTAAAAAAGAAACTGAGTCCCTCAGTAGGGAGAGAAATGATTTGTCCAAAGTCATGTGGGAGTAAAGCAGCTCAGCTGGAATTTGAACACAGCTTCTCTGACTTCAAATCAAATGTTCTTCCCTTTCTATCCCACTCCCCGCCCCCCTTTTTTAAAGTTAGGACTCTGACTCGGGGTTGAGAGAGGACAGCAATTGGGTGACTTGTTCAAAGTTTGGAGGCAGCTACAACTTCTGACTTGTATTCTCTCTGAAACGTCCAACTACAACTACCTCTTCTGCATACCGACCAACCCTAAACCTTCCCTGACACTCTTTTTCAGAACCTGGCAATTGGAGCAGGAGCTGTCGGATCTTTGCCATTGACCTACATCTCCAAGGTAACGTATTCTGGAGCTCTGGGAACTCATGCCCTCTAAGTAGGTTTTGAGATCTAAATTTGGTCAAAAATTCTATGACTCCAATGTGCTGAGTCCTCTGAGAGAGGCACAGTGGCATGAGAAAGGCTGGGTAGCAGACATTCTCCCTCCTCTCAATGGTCAAATGTGGTGAGGATACGTTACTGGTGACAAAAAGATAGATGCACAGACCTGGGTTGAATTCACCAAGTTCTTTGACCCGCAACCCTATGATCATCTTTTCATTTTTAGCCCTATTCCATCTATGACCAAATTTCAGCCTGAGTTTGTTTGAGGAGATTCTCTCTGCTGGTCTCAGCTCCACTTTAGGCCTTGGAATGTCTGGATTGAAGTTGTTGGGGAGGTGATGGTGAAGGCACCCTTTCCTAATATTTGTCTTGCTAATCTGGTCCAGATCCCAGCTCCTCCAAAGACTGAGTGTTTATGTGAGGAGGAATGACATTTTAATTGAAATCAAAAAAGGAAGGAAAAAAGAAAACTCTCTTAAAAAGCAAATCCAAACTAAAGTCTGACCACATACCAGGAACTGGGCTTTTGCAGGTATTTGGCAAATCATTTGGAGTAGGTCCCATTGTGGGGAGCAGGTTGAGGTACCCTAGGTGTGAGAAAAAGACATAGTAGCTACATAACTGACATTAGAGGTGGGCAGGCAGACTAGTAACCTAATCCACTTCATTCAGAGAGCCGAACAGCCATATTCCTTTGGTGCTGAGGAGCTTAAATGAGTGAAACATCTTTAAGGGGCCCTGCACTGTGGCACGCACCTATGCTGACCAGCCAGGCTAGGGGAATTCATCACCTACCCAGAAAGAGGAACTCTGAGCTCTCGAGGAGGAACTGAGTAGCTCCTGGCCTAAGGCAAGAAACTCTGGAAATCTTCAAACCACCCCCTCCAACTTGCCCAGAGGGCTCAGTGCTCAAGCCTACTCCCAGGGACTGAGGCTTGGCTCAGGACACTTAGTCATTCCTGTAATGAGTATGTCAGCTTTTATGTGCACAGCTGAAACCAGTTTTTGGTCTCAGCTGGTCTGGAAAAGAGATCTGAGTTAGAGAGAAAACAGAGACGTGGACACAGAGTGGGTACATGGGGCCTAGAGGGAGGGACTCCTATCAGTGCTAGACCAGCCATGAGGTATAGAGGTAGGCAGAAAGCAAGGAGCTAAGTGATTGGAGCTGAATAGAAAGCAAAAAAAGGAAGGTCCAGGGTAGTTCCTAAGAGAGATACAGATAGAGGGAAGAGATAATGAGCTCAGGGGAGGGGAGGCAAAGATGCCACCTGTGGTATGAGCCCCCTCATGATTAGAACTGTGGCTTTTGTGGCCAGCCACAGAGTGAACAGAAGCTCCCCCAGCCCTCTACCCACTACCCCTAACCCCCTCCATGCACTGTGGGTACATTTGGGCAAGGACGTACCTCCTAGGAGAGCTTTCCAAACTCCACAAGCATTACTTGAGGCATAAAACTCTCTGATCAGTCGTGACCAAATCACCGAGGCTTCAAAGAGAAAAAAAAAAGTTTAGGATCACAGAATTTAGAACTGGAAAAGATCTTAGAAACCATCTAGTCCAACCCCTTCATTTTTATAGCTGAAGAAACTGAGACACGAGGAGGTAAAATTATTTGCCCAAGGTCATTCAAGTAGTAAGTGGCGGAGGTGGGATTTGAACCCACGTCCTCTTGACTGGAGCTAGTGCTCTATTCTACTGAATCATTGATCCTTTAAATTCCCTGTTTTGTGATTCTGACTTTTTGGTTCTGAATAGGAATCTTGGGAGCAGGGTGAGTGTTACAGTGTAAGCTCCCATCCCCCAAAGAGAAAAAAAAAAACAAACAAACCTGTGACTTTTGTTTTTCTGGGTGCCAGAAAATATCCTTGAGTATGTGAACCCTTAAGTATCTAGGGGCAGCTAGGTGGTGCACTGTCAGACTTGGAGTCAGGAAGCTCTATCTTCATGAGTTCAAATCTGGCTTCACTACCTGTGTGACCCTGAGAAGTCACTTGTTTGCCTCAGTTTCCTCATCTGTAAAATGTGCTGGAGAAGCAAATGGCAAACCATTCCAGTATTTTTGCCAAGAAAACCTCAAATAGGGTCACAAAGAGACAGACACAGCTTAAATGACTGAACAATAACATATGAGCCTTGGATAAAGGAAACCTGAATGACTGCTGTTGGGTCCAGGATTCCAGGATGTTTCAGAAAGAGGTTGCTCCCCTTTCTTTTCTTTTCTTTTTTTAAGAAGGTGAGATTTTATTATTTTTTGTAACTTAATATTTTATTTTTTCCCCAATTACATATAAAAACAATTTTAACATTCTTTTTTCAAATTTTGAGTTCCAAATTTTCTCTGTCTCCTCCCCCTATTGAGAAAGAAAACAATGTGATATAGGTTATACACATGTACTCATGCAAAACATATTTCTGTGTAAGTAATATTGTGGGAAAAAAAAGACCAAAAAAACCCCAAGAAAAATAAAGAAAAAGTATCTTTGATCTGCATTCAGGCTCTACCAGTTCTTTCTCTGGATATGGACAGTACCTTTCATCCTAAGTCCTTCATAGTTGTCTTGGATCATTGTACTGCTGAGGATAGTTAAGTTATTCACAGTAGAACACCACACAAGACTGGTATTACTGTGTACAATGTTCTCCTGGTCCTGCTCATTTCACTTAGCATCAGTTCATGTAAGTCTTTCCAGGTTTTTCTGAGAGGATCCTGCTCATCATTTCTTAAAGCATATTAGTATTCCATCACAATCACATACAACAACTTGTTCAGCCATTCCCTAATTAATGGACATCCCCTCAATTTCCAATTCTTTGTCACACTAAAAGAGCTGTTATAAATATATTTGTATACATAGGTCCTGTTCTTTTTTATTTTTTATCTCTTTAGGATACAGACCAGTAGTGGTATTGCTTGGGCAAAGGGTATATGCATGGTTTTATAGCCCTTTGGGCATAGTTCCAAATTGCTCTCCAGGATGGTTGAATCAGTATACTTCACCAACAGTACATTAGTATTTTAGTTTTCCCACATCCTTTCTAACATTTGTCATTTTCCTTTTCAGTCCTGTTAGCCAATCTGATAGTTGTGTGGTGGTAGCTCAGAGTTGTTTTAATTTGTATTTCTCTAATCAGTAGTGATTTAGAGCATTTTTTATATAATTATAGATAGCTTTCATTACTTTGTCTGAAAACTGCCTATTCATATCCTTTGGTCATGTATCAATTGAGGAATGGCTCTTATTTCTATGCATTTGACTCAGTTTTCTATATGTTTGAGAAATGAAGTCTTTATTGGAGAAACTCACTAGAAATTTTCTTTTCACAGTAATGGTTACTATTTCCCTCCATCCTGTTTTCCCCGTCTATCCTATTCTCTCTCTCTCTCTCTCTCTCTCTCTCTCTCTCTGTCTATCTATCTCCTTTTACTCTATTCATTCTCAAAAGTGTTCTGCTTCTGACTTTTACCTCCCTTCAACTGCCCTCCCTTTTATCAGCCCCTTCCCCACTTCTCTTATCCCTTTCCCCTCCTACTTTTCTGTATGGTAAGAGATTTCTACTCCCAACTGAGTGTGTATATTATTCCCTCTTTGAGCCCATTCTGATGAGAGTAAGGTTCATGTACTTTCCTCCCCCCTTCTCCCATTTTCCCTTCCACTGTAAAATCTCTTTAGGACCTCTTTTATGTCAGATAATTTACTCCCATTCTACCTTTCCCTTTCCCCTTCTCCCAGTGCATTCTTCTTTCTCATCCCTTAATTTTTTTTTAAGATAATCATACCATCACATTCAACTCACATCTGTGCTTTCCATTTATGTACACCCATTCTAACTGCCCTAATAATGAGAAAGTTTTTAGGAATTACAAATATCGCTTACCCATATAGGAATGTAAACAGTTTAACCTTATTGAATCCCTTATGATTTCTCTTTCCTGTTAATTTTTTATGCTTCTTTTGAATCTTGTATTTGAAAGTCACATTTTCTATTCAGCTCTGGTCTTTTCATTAGGAATGCTTGAAAGTCCTCTATTTCTTTGAATGACCATTTTTTCCCTTGAAGGATTATACTCAGTTTTGCTAGGTAGGTGATTCTTGATTATAATCCTAGCTCTTTTGCCCTCCAGAATATCATACTCCAAGCCCTCTGATCATTTAATGTAGAAACTGATAAATCTTGTGTTATCCTAACTATGACTCTACAATATTTGAATTATTTCTTTTTGGTTGCTTGAAATATTTTCTCCTTGACCTGAGAGCTCTGAGATTTGGCTATAATATTCCTGGGAGTTTTCATTTGGGGATCTTTTTTAGGAGGTGATCAGTATTTCTTTCAATTTCTATCTGAACCTCTGGTTCTAGAATATCAGGGCAATTTTCCTTAATAAGTTTTTGAAAGATGATGTCTAGGCTCTTTTTTTTTTATCGTGGATTTCAGGTAGTCCAATAATTCTTAAATTATTTCTCCTGTATCTGTTTTCCAGGTCAGTTGTTTTTCCAATGAGATATTTCACATTTTCTCCTATTTTTTCATTCTTCTGATTTTGTTTGATTGTTTCTTGATGTCTTGTAAAGTCATTAGCTTCCACTTGCCTAATTCTGATTTTTAAGGAATTATTTTCTTTAGTGAGCTTTTGTACCTCTTTTTCCATTTAGCCAATTCTACTCTTTAAGGAATTCTTTTCAGTGAATTTTTGTATGACTTTTTCATTTGGCTAACTCTGCTTTTTAAAGTATTCTTCTCTTCATTGTATTTTTGTGTCTCTTTTACCATTTGGCCTATTCTGTTTTTTTAAGGTGTTATTTTCTTCAGTATTTTTTGTGCCTCCTTTACCAAGCTGACTTTTTTTTTCATGATTTTCCTTGCATCACTCTCATTTCTCTTCCCAATTTTTCCTCTATTTCTCTTACTTGGTTTTTAAAAATCCCTTTTGAGCTCTTCAGTGGCCTGGGGTCAATTCATATTTTTCTTTGAGGTTTTGAATATAGGAGTTTTGACTTTGTTGTCTTCTTCTGAGTTTATGTTTTGATCTTCCCTGTCACCATAGTAACTTCCTATAGTAGGGATCTTTTTCTGCTGTTTGCTCATTTTCCCTCCTATTTCTTTACTTTTAATTCTATGCTAAAGTGGGGCTCTTCTTCCAGAGTGGAGGAAGCACTGTACCAAACTTCAGGTTTTTGTGCAGGTGGGGACGTATAAGTTTTCAGTTCTTCCAAGGTGATATAATCTAGGGAGAGGTGTATTTGTTACTCTCCTGCACTGTGTACTAGTCTGTAACTGCAAGTATTCTTTTCCACCCTGGAACTATGATGAGGGTCCCTATCTCCTATGGCCACAAGCTCTGGTGTGCTAGTGTTCCTCCTTGCCCTGGGACTGCAACCCAGATTCAAGTATAGGCAATGCAACAGTCCTGACCCTTGTGCCAGGCAAGGGATTCCTGTAAATCTCCTGACCAGCTGTCCAATCCCCTTACCATCTGTGGGTTTGGAGGTCTGGAAACTGCCACTGCTGCCCCTGATTCATTCACTCCTGAGGCCTGCTTCCTATTTGCAGACTGGTCTTCACTGGTGCAGCTTGTGTTGGACTGCACTCGGCTCTTACCCTGATGCAACAGACCTTTCCTGCCCACCTTCCAAATTGTCTTGGGCTGAAAAATTGTTTCACTCCATCTTTTTGTGGGTTCTGCCACTCTATAATTTATTTAGAGTCATTATTTGAAAGTATTTAGAGGGGTTTGGGGAGAGCTCAGTTGAGTCCCTGCTTTTACCTGTTGCTCCACTTTCTTAACAGAGTCATAGACAACTAAGGTGCCGAGGTAGCCTGGTCTGTATACAGCATATCTGTGACCATGTGTGCAGGCCCTGTTCTTCATCCGACATCTGATTAGTATGACATAAAAGCAAATCAAAGTTAACTGATTGACCATGATTACCCCCTGACATCCCTAGGAGCAGGGTCTGCCCTCAGCAAAATTTGTGAAATGGTCTCACACCCTCAGACAATATTAGAGCTAATAGGGACTTTAGAGATCAAAAAAAAAAACTCCTCTTTTTTAAAAAGATAAAGAAACTGGACTCAGAAAAAGGAATAGATTTGCCTAAGGTCACATAGGGGGCAAAGTTTGAACAAGGACATAGTTCTCCTGAGTCCAAATCTCGTGGTCTTTCCCAGTAATAGAAATCTGCCTTTGAGATCCTTTCAATGACTCTTTCTTCTTGACCCTGTTTTCTCTGCCTCCTTTATAGATCTGTCCTAAGGCCCATTTCAGTGAGTATCTTGAGTTCCGTTAACTTAACCAATTCCTATTTTCATTCCCATCCCTCAAAGTGTTATCCAATACTTAATAGTTAAGGCATTACTCTTTCTTTCACTTTGGAAGATAATTCTTAAAGGAAGGCACAGGGCCAGGCTGTAAGAGAGATATTTTGAGGCATGTGGCCTGCCCAGTGCTCTTCAAATTGCCATCTGGGTGACCTCTAGGATGCAGCTTGGCATGGTCGAACATACACTGAACTGAGGGTCCCCCATTTTCTATTGATGGCTGTATGACTTCAGGGAAATCACTTTCCTTCTACAGCCTCCCTGTTTCCTCATCATGGTTTAGAGGATCTCTCATATCCCTTCCTTCCAGAGGTGTAACTATCTATGATTTTATAGTTTATCTGCTTTTAAGGCTGGTTCTGTGTGGTAGAGTCAGCCAGCTTAACCATGACAGAGCTGGCACAAGAATGCCAATGCACAAGGGCTCCACAGCCTCATCACAGATCTCAGGGTGGAGCTGTCTCTTCTGTAGCAATCCCAGTTTTACTTCCGGCCAAGGACTGACTGGGAGGTGTCAGCTGTTGTAGCAACATGCATAGAAAAGTTTGTTCCTTCATGTGGTCTGGGTTTCCATCTGATATGAGTGAGCGCTAGCAAGCCAGCTCAGCCATGGAGTAACCATTTCTATTTCATACTTTAGGGGAACCCTACCTATTTCCCACATCTCCCCCGCCACTGGTGGGTGCCTTTCTAGCATGACCTGACAAATACATCTACTAGTCCTTATGAAGATTACCATGTTCTTGACTGAAAGTATCACTCTTCTGTTGCAGTGTGTCAAACTCCAATAGAAATGGGGCCATTAAACCGCATACTATAAGGATCCCAGTAGGCTGCATATTGACTTAGAAAACCACATATTAACATTATTTTTGTTTTACTGAATTTTTATTTATTTTGTTAAATATTTCCCAATTACATTTTAATCTGGTTTGGGATGCGCTCAAGAGGACTGTGAGCTATATGTGGCCTGTGGTACATGTGTTTGACACTACTGCTCTCTAGTGATTCCCCATAAGTAGGGTGCTGGTCAAATCTCATGCTACATCTTGGCTAGTGAGTCGGACAGCTGAAGAAATTTTATTTGCTATCAGAGCACCATGAAGATGGTAGTTTCCTGGGACAGAGATGGATGCTGGTTGCTCAGAGGCAAGCAAATATTGTAAACTAATAAACTAGAGGTCGGGTCTTGAGATAATGGTCTTTCCTTGGACAATATGGACTAGTCTCAATCTCATATTAGAACTGTAAGATAAGAACAGTTGGCCTGGACTTGGAGAGCCAAGGCTGGGGACGTAGGGTGGTAACCAAGCAACAAGTAATCGTCACAGGCCACTGGAGATGACAGCAAGCATTGGTTTCTAACCAAACAGGCAGGTGATATCTGAGAATACCATTAAAGTCTAGGCTTAGCTGAGACCTTAGAGCCAAATAGTCCAATCCTGCTTCATTTTACAACCAAATTCTCTTGATTTCAAATCCAGGGCTCTTTCTACTATATACACTGTAACATAAGAGAGAAGTCTATTGGGTCAATAAAGTTGTTAAGAGTTTCAGCTAGAGAAACAAAAGTGATAGGTATATGAATAGGTCACATCTCATCTTTTCAGCCTTATGATAATCCTGTGAGGTAGGTAGTGACAATATGATTATTTCCATTTTATAGATGAGGAAACTGAACATACTGTCAGGGTGAAGTAGAGTCAGGAAGCCAGAGAGAAAGGAGACAAGATAAAGCATTATGCTATCAACCAAAAGTCAAAGCCAGACAATGGGTTGATAATATAAGCAATGCCAAAATACTGTGACATGAACTTGATCTTGGGGCAGAAAGCTGTCCTCACTGTAATCAGGTGATCAACCAGCATCTACGATGTGCCTGCTGTGCACCAGGCACTGTGCTGCGTGCTGAAGATAGAGGCACAAAGAATGAAACAATCTCTATTCTCAATGAACTTACGTTCTAAGCCATAAGCTCCTTATATGCTTCCTATCAGAGGTGGAATCAGCCCCAGGTTGTGGCCAAGCAGAACTTGTAGATAAGAACAAGTAAGTGAGTGCTTTTGGCTGGGAAGAACAGGTGAGAGGACTGGCGATTGTGTGTCAGACCTGATCATTAAAGCCTTCAGGGTGTGCATATGTGGTAACAAAAGCCCCCAGACCCCGGCCAAACGGTGTGTTATTTCTTTAGTTAGAGGGATCCTGGCTGCTGCACGTGCATACAGAGCTGGGAAATGTCACAAGAAGATCCTGATGTTAACATAGAACATGACTACTTCTTTAAAAATGCTACAGATGCTTGTTTGGGACCCATATCAAGAGCAGCTAACCTAACGGGGTAGAGAGGGGAGGAACGATGGTGATGGGTTGCTTTCTTCATCCCTTGGTTATATTTGAACCTGAAATGTGGGGCTCACATATTAGTAAGTGTAGATATAGCCAATATAGATGTTGGGGGCCAGAGTCTTGGTGGGCCTCATAGCTTCAGGAGACTGATAGGCCCACATATTTTCTCTCTCTCTCTCTTTCTCTCTCTCTGTCACTCTCTTTATCTCTATGTCCATCTTTTTCTTTGTCTCTCTGCCTCTCTAGCTCTCTGTCTCTGTATTATATGTACTATATATATATCTGTATTATATATTATATGATAGATGTATCTATATCAATATCTATATATCATGTATATAAATCTCACTATCTTTGTTTTTAGGTAAATATAGCCACTCCAAAACAGAAACCAAAAACTCCATTTTGCTTTGGTAAGTAGTGTACTGCCCTGGGGAAAGAAATTCTTGTTGGTTCTCATAATTGCTTCCTACATAGTAACAGTCCTATGACCACATGGCAAGTCAGACTTGAGTGTGTCTGTGGGAATCGACATAGACTATATAAACTGAAAGGCACTTTCAAAATCATTTAGTCCAATCCACTCATAGAGAATGATAGAACCTGAGGCTCAGAGACAGTTAGTAAACTGTCTAAAGTCACACATCTAGTGAGTGGCAGAGGTTGTCTCATGTCTCTGAGATCAGTGAGCTTTCAAGCATGTGTGTGTGTGTGTTTGTGTGTGTGTGAGAGAGAGAGAGAGAGAGAGAGAGAGATTGCAGTCACAGCAGCATCTTTTCAGTCTTAAGAGATAATGATACCAGTAAATGACCTTTACAAGTTAGCTAAATGCTTCACAGAGCACACATTATCTCATTTGAACCATGTAACAACTCTATGACTGAGGAACTGCAAGTATTATATGAGACTTGAGAGAGGTTATGACTTGCCTATGGTTATACAACTAATGTTGGTAGCAGCATTTGAACCCAGGTATTTCTGACTTTTCTTCAGAATACCTCCTCTTAGGAAGAATTACTCTAGCCATAGGGACTAGAGAAGAGTCACATTGATATTTCAGTCCTCCTGGCCCTGGAAGATCAGAAATAAAATATCTAGGGGCAGCTAGGTGGCTCAGTGGATAGAGAACTGGCCCTGAAGTCAGGAGGACCTGAGTTCAAATCCAACCTCAGACACATAACACCTACTAGCTGTGTGACCCTGGGCAAGTCACTTAACCCCATTGCCTAACCAAAAAAAAAAAAAAAAAGAAATAAAATATCTATGTTATATATAATATCAATAGTACACACACACACACACACATATGGGGCAGCTAGGTGGTGCAGCAGATAGAGTGCTGGGCCTGAAGTCAGGAAGATTTGAGTTCAAATGTGGCCTCAGACTCTCACTTGCTATGTGACACTGGGCAAGTAACTTAATCCTGTTTGCCTCAGTTTCCTCATCTGTAAAATGTGCTAGAGAAGGAAATGGCAAACTACTCCAGAGTCTTTGCCAAGAAAACCCCACATGGGATCACAAAGAGTTGGTTGGACACTACTGAAATGACTGATCAACTACAAAACATATATACATGTACATACATGTGTATGTGTACATGTATGTTTCCAGGGCCCTTAACATGGGATCTCAGGTGTTCAAGGGATATTCATGTTGTAAGACCTCTCTGATGGCAAGTTTGGAGACTATTGTTAAGTGATCAATTCCGAAGGATGTCACAGAAATTAGTTATCAGCCACCACTGGCCTGGTATGTTAGGAGCTCACTATGTGAACAGCACTGTAACAGGTGGCAAGGAGGAGGCAGCATGGAAAAGTGGAGGAAAAAATTGCTGGATTTAGCAACGGGATTTAGGTTGGAATCCTGATTCTTCTCCTTACTACCTAGGTGGCAGTAAGTCACTAAACTCTCCACACCTCAGTTTTATATCTGCAAAATGAGGGGTTTGAAACAAAAAATAAAAGGAGTTTGGACTGGATGATTTCTCTGGTCCTTTCCTACTTTAAATCTGTGATTGGCACACAGAAAGGGCAGCCAGGATTCCTTGTGGCTCTGGACTCTGTGTCTATTCCATGGGATTTTCCTCCCCATATAATTCATATTCACTAAAGCCTGACTAGAATAGACACTTCACTGTGGCACGGAGGTAACTGTGGGTTCATGATTGCTATACCAGGGCTCTGTAAACTCTGACGTGTCTACCTATTTGAAAGAAGCTTTCATTATGAGCCAGGGCCAGATTGTTATCTGAAGACCATCCTCACAAAGTTCAGAGAGTCTCATCACCAGCGGATTGGCCACCAGGTTTACTGAGGCACGGAGGGATCATAGTCCACATAAGCAGAGGAGGGTATACCCATATTGAAGGAACCACAGTATTATTGAGATTAAAGTATTATAAAGGAAAAAAATTAGCCTCTTCCCTCCTTCCCCCACTTACCATCCAGTATTGGATGTGCACAATCACTACAGCAATGTAAATGAAAAGATCACTAAAAGGAAACAGGAATGTGAAGCAGTAAAAAATTGGTAGTGGTCCCAGAGAACAGACTAAGAGGTACGCTTCATTCCTCTTAGCAGAGAAGCAAAGTTCTACTAGGATAGAATATGGTATACATAGTCAGATGTGATGACTGCCTTGTGCTTCACTTTTTCTTTGCTCCCAAAGAGGGTTCAGTTTTGACAGGAATGGGGGTGGGGTGGTGTGGGAGACAGAATGGCTCATTTCTAGAAATGATTATGATATCAAAATAAATGGCATCGATAAAATTTATTTTAAAACAAAATCCTCTATTTGCCATTCAGACATTTTATTCATTGCACAGCTCAATAATACTGGTAAGTGACTCCTTGGATTCCATACACTGCCTACCCAAACAAAAACAAAGGGAGCTCATAAATAAATTACTGACCCAAAAGAAACCTAGGTAGCTCAGTCATTTAGAGCTTGCCACTACTAAGCCCGGTATCGTGGGTTGGATTTGGACATTATTTCACAGGTTGGATTTGGACATTATTTACATTCTAACCACTCCTTGTCAACATGCCACTGATAATAAGGGATACTGGTTAAAAGAAAGAGGATGAATCATCATAAATCCATTACTACTCTTGGAAAAGAAATCCAAGGTTGTGTCTTATTGATCGTCTTTGTAGATGAAGATCAGCATATTTGGAAGTAGAGTAGTATGCATTTTCCTAGTGAAGCAAGATATATTTTTAGAGCAGAGGAGAGAGTAGCAATAGCCTTTTCCTCCCTGAACACTTCACAGTGTCCTGGCGTCATGGAAATTTGCCTGGTCTGCATTGTGGATCCCATGAAACCTCATCCCAAAGATGACTTGTTCATGGATGCCTCTGTTTGTTGCTGGAATGCTGATTGGGGATTTATCTTCTTTTTGTCTTGTTGCCTGCCTGTCTGCAGTCATCAATGCCCTTTCTCAGCGTTATTTCCTACAAGCCAATGACCAGAAAGACCTGAAGGATTGGGTAGAGGCACTGAACCAAGCCAGCAAGATCACAGTACGTATGGTTCCTTTCCCATCTCTGGTATAAACAAAAGAACCTTTTTTTTTTTTCCAGCCCAGGGTCTAATTGATGTAGGAAAAAACTTTGTACAAGTGTAGGGGCTTTCCCAATTGACCTACTCCCCTCCTAGTTCTAGCCACGTATTCTTGCACCATGATTGATTGACCACAAATTGAACTGAGAGTTTGAGATTCAGTTTCAGCCAGGGGGAAGTTCATGGAGAGTCCCCTCTGTGGCAGGATCACTTCAGGATTCCTAGGAAGGTTTATGGTCAATCATATTTTGGGTAATTTTTGGGGTAACTCAGGCTCAAAGTGTGGTAACAATAATAGTAGTAGCCAGTAATTATAGAACACTTTAAGAATTACCAAGTGCTTTCCTCATATTGAAAAGTGAAGGATGAAGCATATGGGACAGGGGGAGGAGAGAAGTTGGAACTCTTTTACCAGCCTGGCTCCTCCTCTCACTTCAAGGGGTTGCTTGGCCAAATGCTGCTTTTGTAGATGAGCCCAGAGCAACAAAGGCAGTTTGTGGTTTAAAGGTGCTTCCTTTAGAAGAATCACTGAACCTTGATGAGTGATTGCTTTAGGGTTCATGTCATCTTCCTCTATTTGCATGTAGAAGAATCCTCCAAGAAAATATTTTCAGACCTGTACAGGATCAGAAGATGAGGTAGCCTGGTTGAAGAGAAAAATCCCTAGGCTTAGAGAAAGGAAGACCTGATTGCAAAACAGCCTTTGGCACTTACTCAACAAACATTTAAGCACTTATGTGGCAGGTACCATGTAGATGCTAGACATAAGAAGAAAGGCAAAATCAAGCTGAGGGAACTCACTTTCTAATTGAAAGACAACATACAAATAACAAGTTTTCTATAGGAGATATATGCATATATGTGTGTCTGTATAAATATATATGTAGATATGCAAACAGAGGGCTTTATATGTGATCTAGCAGGTAATAGGGAGCCACTGGGGTTTGGTGAATAAGAAAGTAATATGGTTGAACTTTTGCTTTAGGTAAGTCACTTTGAGAGCTGAGTAGAAAATACATTGGAGTAGAGAGAGAAGAGACCAATTTAAAGGATATCATAATATCCTTTTGTGCCTTTTGTACCTTTCGCGTGGGGTAGAGGTGATAACAGCCTGAGTGAGAATGGTGGCTATGTGAGTGGAGAGAAGGGACCACACACGAACAGGCATTGTGAAAATATATAAAAACCCCAACAATACTTGGCAACAGGCTAAATATGTTGAGTGAGTTGAGGATGCTATGACTAAGTATATGCACTTGAGTAAGTGGGAGAATATTGGTGCCCTTGACAGTAGCAGGGAAGTAAAGAAGAGGGGGTGTTTTTGGGGAGAGGTAGTAAGTTCTGTTTTGAAAATTTTGAATTTTTTTGCCTTTGGGTATATCCAGTTTGAGATGTACAAATGGCAGTTGGTGACGCAGGAGAGAGCTCAGGAGAGAAACTAGGGCTGGTTACATAGATGTGAGAAACACCTGCATAGAGATGATAACTAAACCCATGAGAGCTGATGAGATCACTAAGTGAGGGATTATAGAGAAAAAAAGGAGAGGGTCAGGACAGAGCCTTGGGGGGAACATCCAATGTTAGTGAGTATGACATAGATGAGCTAGCAAGGGAGATGGAAGTGTGGTCAGACGTGTAAGAAAAGAATTGGGAGAGGGCCATGTCATGAAAAACCTAGCAAAGAGAGTATTCAGGAGAACAGACAGGGCTACAATATCAAAGGCAGCAGAGACCAAGAAGGATGAGTATTGAGAAAAGGCCATTAGATTTGGCAATTACGAGATCTCTGGTAACTTTGAAGAGATGTTTCAGTTAAATGATGCGGTTGGAAACCAGTTTGCAGAGGGTTTAGAAGAGGGTAAGAGCAGAAGTTGAGGCACCTTGTCTAGATAGCTTTCTCAAGATTAGTCATGAATGAGATAAAGAGATAGGGATTTAAAGCTAGCTGAAATCATCAGGTCAAATTAAGTTTTTGTTTTTTGTTTTGTTTTGTTTTGTTTTAGTTTTAGGATGGGAAAGGCTTGGGTGCATTTGTACGCTTCAGGGAACGACTCAATGGAGAAAGGAGAGATTGAAGATTGGAGAGTGTGTCACTCTGGGCTTCAGGCTCATTAAGACTGTTAAGTCTTAGAAGAGTTTTGAATCTGCCCTGGTTTGATGAAGGGAGTTCCCCCGATGCCGACAAAATCATGTCTCCTTTGAGTATTCTCATAAAGGAGTAGAAGAGACAGAGAGAGGGAGTGTGTCACTGAATGTGTGTGTATTGAGGTGTACTGAGAAGCTGTCTGCTTTGTGGGTGTCAGAACTTCTACCTAAATGCTATCAGACTTCTTGTTTTCTAATTGTATTACTCATGAATGGTGCACTGTTCTGTTTAGGAAGGTTAAGGCACAATTCTTTTAACATCAAATGTATGCTTGGACAAATTTGTCTCTCCTGGCTCTCTACAAATAAGTTCTCTAAGGAGGATTTCATGGAATCATAGAATCTCAGGATGGCTCTTGGCTGTTTTTTTTTTTTTAAATTATTTATTTTGGGTTTTCAACATTCGCTTCCATAAGATTTTGAGTTCCAAAATCACTCCCCTCCCCCCACTCAAAGACCACATGCAATTTGATATAGGCCTTACATATACATTCATATTAAACCTATTTTAACATTTGTCATGTAAAGAAGAATTAGAACGAAAAGAAAGAATCACTAGAAAGAGGAAACAAAATAAAACAACAAAAAAAGAGCAAATAGTGTGCTCTGATATGCATTCAGACTCCATGTTTCTTTCTCTGAATGTGTATAGCATTTTCCATCATGAGTCTTTTGGAGCTGTCTTAGATCCTTGTATTGTTAAGAAGAGATAAGTCTATCAAAGCTAGTCACCATACAACATGGCTGTTACTATGTACAACATTCTCCTGGCTCTGCTCACTTCACTCGGCCTCAGTTCATTCAAGTCTTTCCAGGTTTTTCTGAAGTCTGCCTCCTCTTGAATGGCTCTTGTTGTTAGGAAAGCGTTACCTTATATCCAGGAGTTTGCTGGTAAACGTTTAACAGCTAGCTCTTCAGAGCACAAGACATACTTTTAAATTTAATTTGCAATATTAACATTTTCTCCATCACTCTCTCAAGTCTAGGCAATTAAAAGAAACAATAAATCAAGCCCTGATTTAAAGCATTTGCTATTCCAAGGTATAAATACTCGCACTGACATTTTATCAATAGGTTCTAAGCCTATTGGAACCTGCTCCAACACATGCCTACTTATATCAAACCTAATTTGCTCCTTTACCATGTCCATGTCCACAGACTGTTCTCAGTTCTTCCCTCTGGGGCCAAGCAGTACAAGGCTAATTTGACTTCTGTATGACAGGTCTTCAAGTACCTGGAGACAGCTATCGGAGCTCCTTTTTTTTTTTTTTTTTTCTAAGCTAAGCATCCTAGATCTTTCAGCATCTCCTCACACGGCCTGATCTTCAGTTCTGCTCCTAAATGCGACTTTGGGCAACTCTCTTCCTCTTTCTGGGCCTCATTGTTTATCATCTAAGATGAGGGGAATGGACTAGATAATGTTGAAGGTCTTTTCTCACTCTAAATCTGATGATTCCTAAAGACAGCAAGTTATTACATAAAAATATATCACTCCTGATGAGTATATGCTATTTTAAGAAATGTCTATATCAGCGAATCACACATATTCCCTAGAAGGCTTTGAAAATTGTGCAGTGAAAGGGATGCCAAACTAGACAATGTAGGTGATTCTCTGTGGATGTCTTTCTAATAGCAGCTACCATATCATGAGGGATCATAGGATAGTAGATATAGAGCTGGAAGGCTACCTTAAAGATCAAAATTTTATAGATGAGGAAATTGAAGCTCAGGCATTAAATGATTCACCCAAGGTCACATAGGATGGGTGAACTAAAGGTCTCCCCCATTACAAAGAGGCAACCTACTTTGAGATTCCTACCAGCCCTGTGTTCTTAATAGTCTTGTCATGGCTCAGGATACAGGGGAATGGACTGTATTGGAAGCATCTCTAATGGCAGCCTCCTTGGTTCAGATTTGATGTTAGAATGAAATGAGGCATTCACAAGTCATTGAACAGTTCACCAAAGGAGATTTGCTTTGCCTTAAAGCAGCAAAGATATGCTACAAGAGTACAGTGGTACTTACCTTCTCCGGACACAACTCCCTTCTCATCTCCATATAGAAATGTGTCTGGTCATAAGGTCAGGATATGATGAAAGACGTGGTGACTTGTATGGTCTTCATCCAGGCCCTGACTTTATGTGGTCCAGGTTTTTTATGCTCTTAGGTGAAGGAAGCTGTGTCGAGGTAGGCAAGGACCAATCAAGTACCAGGGATAGCTTTGTGTCTTTTTTGGGAAAAACTAAAGGAGGGAAAGCGGAGGGCTGGGCCTAACCCTTCTTGTGGGGAAACGTCCCATCATAGCCTACATCAACTCCTCTAGCAAAGCAGCTCTTTAAAAGCATTTTCAGGACTTGGATTCTCTCATCCTTCACTGGATGTGGTGGAGGCTTTTGGACCAGCTTTGTCCACTGATCCCAAGGCACCTTCACTTGACTTTTTTCCAGATTTCAACCTCTGAGGTATCTTGGGAATTTTGGCTTGTTTCTTGTACTCATGGATTTTTCTCTATTTGCCCTCCTTTCTGTCTCTGTCTCTGTCCCTCTTTTTCTCTTCCTCACCCCAAAAGACCCTGCCTCCACCTAACTGCCCACCTCCTCACTTCCAACTTCTTTTTCAGGACATGGCTCCTAGCCAAAAGACCCCTCACCACCTGGGGCAATAGTCCCATAAGCCCTGGGACTCCTGCCCCAACTCTAGCACCTGTGGCGTAGTTGGGAAAAGACGCGATCTGAGAATTGGGAAGCCTTGCACTGACATTAATTAGCTATGACTTTGTGGAAGTGACTCCCTCCTGGACCTCTCTTTTTTATTTCTACAATTCCATGAGCCTATGAAGTTACTCTGGTAGGTGTCCTAGATGGACAAGGTTCACGATGTTGATGAGAGCCGTAAGAAATTTATGGAACCGCATTTAAAGACTGAGAATAGCGACCAAGAGCTTCCCTGTGTTCTTGTTTGTTGGTCAGGAGCAAGCAGTATTCTAGAAATCCTGGTGATGGCTTCCTGTCTTCCTTCAGATGGTTTGACAGCCAGGAACAGAAAACAAAAATTTTTTACAAGTTCGTCATTGTGAAAGCTGACATCACCATTGCTCATGGCACCTGCTTTCTGGGGACTTTCTTCTCCTTAAGCTACAGTCTTTCTCCCAGTTTAAGTTTGTTCTCCATTCTACTCTGTAGGAGTTGTTCCTTTTTCTTTTTTTTTTTTTTTTGGCTAGGCAATGAGGTTAAGTGACTTGCCCAGGGTCACACAGCTAGTAAGTGTTATGTGTCTGAGGCCAGATTTGAAGGAGTTGTTTCTTGTAGAACCAATGAAAGAAAATAGAATAAAACCCACTCATCCTAAAGGTCCTGTGACACAGGGTCATAGCTCAGGGAAATATGGGAAAAGTGGTCTGGGAATGACTTTATCTACTCTCTGAGGATTAGGCCAGCTAAGTAAGTTCATCTCCAGGAGGTCAGCCATTAAAGGGTTAGGGGAAGGGTGAGGAATTATGGTGATTTATTTTTTTTTAAAGTGTGGTGGGTTAAAAAAGAGGATGAGAATTCTGGATTGTTTTGGAAAGGAGGAACTGTGGAGTATACTCCAGGTGTCAGAGACCCACTTTCTCTGCCAGGCTTTTGTCCAATTTATAATGCATATGGAAGTAGGAAATAAGAGCAGGAGTGCTGGATTCAAAGATACTTGGATTCAGCAAAGCGTTTGTTTGACATAGTTTTCTTTTTTATGCTGGTAAACAGAATGGTGAGGTTTGGGCTAGATGTTAATAGAGCTAAATGGACTGAGAACTGGTTAAATGACTGAAGCCAATGAGTAGCCGCTAATGAATTCATGTTAACCTGGAGAGAGGTTTCCAGTGGAATCCTTCTAGGACCCATCTTTGGGATTTTCTTCTTAACCATTTTTGAAAAAATTTCCCTCACTAGATAGCATTTTATTTATTTTTTTCCAATTACATGTAAAGACAATTTTTTACATTGATTTTTTATTTAAAAATTTGAGTTCCAAATTTTCTCCCTCCCCTCCCCCTTCCCTAAGATGGTAAGCAATTTGATATAGATTACTTATGTGCAATCATGTAAAACATATAGCCATATCAGTCATGTTAAACATTTTTATTGATAATTTGAATGAAGGCATAGGTAACATTGATCAAATTCACAGATGACCAAAGGGAGGTAGAAGAACAAGGTACAATGGGTGAGAGTTGAGGAAAGGTAGATTTCAACTTGAGGGGAGGAAAGACTTCCTTATCTATGAGAATTGTCCAAAGTACATTGGCCTACCTCAGGAGGTAGTGAGGATTCCATCGCTAAAGGTCTTCAAGCAGAGACTGGATGGCTACTTGTTGGCATTGTGTACCCATCCAGGTATGAGTTAGACTAGAAAGCCTGAGGCCTTTCACCATTCTGAGTTTTTATGACTATTTTGAGTCTGGATGCCCTTAGTGTCTAAATTCAGTGCTCATTTATTACACATAGGAATCCATAGAAATTAGGGGCTGAACTTAATAGTCAGCAAGAATAGAGTCCAGAGTCCAGAGCCAGAAGAAGTTAGACATGCAAGAACTTCTCTATCAGGATAGGGGTTAATGGAACGCATAGTCAGATTGCATTGGTATTTGCTTGCTCAATGTGCTACAGCCTCAAATTAACTTTTAGTTCTGCCTTTATCTTCTAAAGCCCTGGTTGGAGTTCTTGCCCCTCCATTCAGGTCTCTAGGGGGAGGGTTCTGTGTATTTTAACCGAGTTCTCAGGGCAAGAATCATCTCGATTTTTCTACTCTTTCACACTGAGACCCAACCTGGACCTGGGTGCTCTCTTTGGATAGAAACTGAATGGTGTGATTCCTGGTGCAGTGCTAATGACTACGTTTTACATAACAACTGCCTTTGTAAAGAATGGTGGTTTTGTTTTGTTTTGTTTTGTTCTTGCCTGCCCTGTTGATCTCACTGTTCAGGGGTCACTGTTCAGTCTTGGAGAGGTCAAAATATAATGATGCTAATAATGATGATGATAAATAATAGCAGTTACACAGTACTTTAAAGTTTGCAAAACATTTCACTTGTTATCTTATTTGATTTTCCTAATGACCCCAAGGCTGTAAGTGTTGTTATGAGCACTTCATTTTTCAGAGGAGGAAACTGAGGCAGAGAGAGGTTAAGTAATTTGCCTAGGTTACAAAGCTAGTAAGTCTATGCAGCAGGTTTCAAACTCAGGTCTTCTTGCCTCTAAGTCCAGCACTCAATGCCCTGAGCTACGTAACTATCTCACTAGGATGTGTAAGAGGTACTGACTGCTTTATGCTTCCTAGCATTCTGGTTCTGTGTCTATACAAGATAGGACAGGGGTGTTAGAGTGTGGACACTTTATTTTAGACCAGATCCTGATCACACACAATTTCCTAACCACCAAAGAGAAGGAGAGAGGCCCTTTGCCCAGACAGAACTCTATTTATAACAGGTGGATGAGGGGATTGAATAGGAGGGAATGTATGTAGGGACAGGAATGGCATGATACTCCTGTATTCAGATGTAAAAACTGAGTCATCAGAGGCTACTGGGACTGCCAGCTCATAGGTCCTATTGCTGATAGGACCAGGGGGTCTTCAAAAGCACTCACCTTAGCAGATTCCCTTCAATCTGCAATTTGCTTCTGAAATCTTCAATTTGTTCTTCTGTGTATACCTAAGAGGCAGTTGTCATCAAAAGAGCAATGAACTCAATAGTTAGATGACCCCATTCTGCCACTGAATTCCAGTTCTGGCATTTACTGCTATCTTCTATATTAAAGCTTTCTGTGCCTTCTCTCCTTCCAGGTGCCCAAAGTGGGGAGCCTGCCCCTGGCTACTGAGGTTGCCAAGAGCCCAGCAATTTCTCAGCCCCTAGAAAAAAAGCTACAGGTGGCATATAAGACAGAGATCATTGGTGGGGTTGTGGTACACACGCCCATCAACCAGGTATAGCATGGAATGGGGGGTGGGGATGCGGCTTCTGTTTGGGAAAACCAAGGGTATGATGTCATTGATGTGACATCTGCAAAAAATGTGTCTCGGATTATATCTTGGATTAAGGATTCAGAGGAGTTACAGATAGTGTTTGTGGGCAAGAAACCCTGACCTTTAAAGGTCTGAGGTCTTCCCTAGCACCTGGAAAGTGATTGTTATGAAGTGGCTTTAATTGGTGGAGATGCAGAGATAGTGGGACTCTACATTGGTGACAGAGAGAAATACTATTCCTCTACTTCTAACTGCTATGTTAGAATATAGCCCATGGAACCAAATATGAAAATAACAATAACAAAATCTAGCATTTATATAGCACATTAAGCTTTGCAAAGTACTTTACAAATATTATCTCATTTGATCATCATAACAACCCTGGGAGGTGGGTGTTATTATTATCCCCATTTTACCTTTGGGGAAACTGAGGCAGACAACAGTTAGGTGATTTGCCCAATGTTACACAGCTACTGAGAGTATGAGGGAGAACTTGAACTCAAGTCTCCTTATTCAAGGTCCAACACTCTATCTATTGTGCAACCTACCTGACTCGGACTAGTACCTAGTACTATACTAGAAGTAGCTAGTACCATAGTAGACTAGTACTAGTACCATAAGGGATCTTATGTGAGATTTAGGGACAGAGGACAAGGGCCAAGCTGAGAACATGTATACTGGGCTCCCTTCCCTTTCTTATCTGTCACCTTCTCCACCCTTCTCTACTCTGCCCTCCAGTGGTTAGATTATAAAGATGTAAATTTGAGATATATGTGTGTACACATATACATATACACATATTTGCATATGCATGTGTTTATATGTGTGTGTATATATGTGTGTATGGAGATTACACACACACATACAAATCTCCTGATCAGAGTCACCTCTCCTCCTTCCTGTTTTCCCAGCTCTGATTGACCTCTCTGAGGCAACAGCCTTATCCTGGTAGTAAGACAAAATATTGTTCTTATGGGGAAATCCAAATGTCTGGC